TATGAAAAACCACAAGAGAAATCTACAACTGAAACATTTTATCTTATCCAAAGTCTAACGTGTTCATATGCTTTTCAGTACAGGTTTAGTTTGATTTGCAGGCTAAAAATAGAAATACGAGTTATAGCAACCGGATTGTCCTAGCTTGGTTTGCTTCATTAGATTGCTATAGATTTAATTTTGCAAAATTTTAACATATGGTAACCTATGTGGACTCTCAGATCCAAGTTTTTGGGGACGTCTATATCGAAAGGAACACTTTCTTTATCCCAACGTATTTCAAGTTGACTTTCTTCATCCCGAAAGACACTCGTACACTAATCAATGCGAGAAGGTTAAATTTGAAGAGAAACCAATGTTTAATTCCCGGTCGGCAATACCGATTGCAAATGGGCAGTTGCAACCATCATCTTTCTTTCATGTGCATGACAGTGGAGACAACATGTTCCTGGAACATTTTCATTGGCAACCGAAGATTTCGATGCTCCTAGTGTAGCATCAACAGTTGAAGAGTTCTCTGGGGTTTCACGCTCAGACTGTGCTCTCTCTCTTCTGTCAGCTCAATCCCAGGATTTGTCAAGCCATGCGACAGGGATTCAAATGACAAGGCCCTTGATTGATCAAGCCAGCAATGCCCTCGGAGCTCCGAGAAATCTGCTGCGAATACCTTTTATTCATGTGGAATGAACCCCATGGGAGTAAGCCATTCAAGCTCCGTGCGGTCTGATGCTGGTCATACCGCTAATTTCGACCGTCAAGTTCAAAACTCGAATCTTTTGAGCACCAGCTATTGCCTTTCTCCTGAAAACGAAACCACTGTCGATTTGATTCAACTTTCAACACATCTCAAAGAGTGGAGCAGCAACGGAACTCCTTGCAAATAAAGCAGGAAAACGAGGACCCTGTTTATTCCTCACCACAAATTAGTACGAGAGGGAGGAAGGTATATGCGCAAACACCCCTGCTTTCAATGTTCTCCACAAATCTAACAATGCTCTATTCTTCTTTCTGGTTTACAGGAGAGTTGCAAAAGGTACATTTCACTATAGGCTGTTAGACACTCCAAAACCATTTTAGCACATCCCATTTCCAGTCGGTATAGAACAACGCAAATCTGGCGTTGTAACTGTAAATTGGTGCAGTTCAGTAGTATTTGTTCTTCCTATAGTTTCTCTGCAGATTCTATGTAGTTAAAGATGGGTTAATGTTCATATATGATACTATTCGAGACATTGTTAATCATCCCATCACTTGGTTGCACTGAAGTGACAATGTTCAAAGGGACAACCTAAGGGTCAAGTTGGAATAAAGATTCCCCCACAAAAAAAAGCTTAGAATTTGAATCATTTCTGCACTAATATATATATATATATATATATATATATATATAGATATATATATATATTATATATATAAGTGCTGACGTTGAGTGGAAGATGATATGCTTGTTACCGTACTGCATGCATATCTCTGTTAAAATATTTCGTTTGCTGCTTTATTGCAGGTTGATATTAATTTAGTCATGGAGTTTTGACTAAAGGTTATACTTTAGAACAAAAAAGATCAAGCCTTTTTAAAAATTATTCAAATATGATATGCCACTTATTAAAGATATGATAGTTTTTAACACGATACGAATGCTTAATAAAGATTATTTGTGTGCCAAGTCTTTGAGCATTGTCAATGGAGAATTCAACTATCCCACTTATTAGAAAACATTTATTTCAAGATGATTATACGAACTAACTGAATTAAACTGTGTATAATATTTCATCCTCGTTTTTGGGTAAAAGCAACACTTATTAGAGGAAGCTTGGGTTTGATTCATTCATGGTAGTTTGAAATCTTAAGTGCAATCCCTTGGGTGCTAAAACTCTTGGGAATTGAAGGATTTCAGTTTACCAACCTCCTCCCACCTGCATTTTTCAAACAAAGATAAAATCCCATTAAAAATATAATTTGACCTATGATCAATATGAAAATCCAGCTGTGGACTAACCTGTAAGTGGTGGCAAATAGTGGAGGAATATGCAAATCTGTAGTATCCCCAAATCCTTTCCGGACACAGCCTGTTGCCTGCTCCAATATGAAGCAGTAATTGTGAGACTCATAGTCCTTATCCTGCAAATTCAGTTCATATGCTCATAAGCTCTGCAATAAGGTGCTCCATGAAATGCTAAATGTTCATCAAGCTTATGTTCAACTCACTAGCCATCTCCACGGGTTGAAGGTGAAAGGCTCTGGATAAAGGAATGGATCATAGTTTATTTCCCTTACATACATATATTCTCCATCCTTTTGGAATGGTAAACCCTGTCAAGCAACAACACATGAAAAAAAAACGTTACGGTGTCGAACACTTATTTTTCTGTAAGTATTTGTGTTCGACACTAGTGTCTGTCGACGTACCGTTCAAGACCATCATCTGTCGTCCTCTCATTAGTCCATTAACAACTGTAGCTAACCTTGAGGTTTCATATATCACCTGTGCATAGGCAACATGATTTGATTAGTTTATATAATGCCAATGGAAGCTGGTTTTGCTAGGAGTCATGAATTTGCTTACAGAACGGGTGAAGTTATGGACTTGTAATCCTTCCAATCGATCGCTTCTCCGGTTTTCTTCTTTTCTCTGATTGCGAAATGTCATCCTAGGCAAGTAATAGACCGGAATCATTAAGAAGAACCATATGATTAAGAAATTCGGTCGAGTAATCAAAGAAATTGTCGCCTCACTCGTAGTTCTCGAAGAGCTTTAGGATGATCATGGAGGTACTTGATGGCCATCATCAAAGTAACTGAGACGGTTTCGTAACCTGAGAACAATACGATTATTATCGAATCAATTATCTCCTCATCAGTGAGACTGTACTTTGAATCTTTGCTATGGAGAAGAAGGCGGTAAAGAATATCATCATAGGCCTTTGAAGAGGATCTTCTTTCCTCCATTAAACTGTTTCAACATCTCCACAACTCTTTTTCTTCCCTGCATAGAATCATACTGAAAAACATTAGGCAAATTTCTCAAGAAAAATAATATCGAAAATGTTCGAAAAAGTCTTTCGAGATTATACCTGCAAACCATGATAGTAAGTTGTCCCCGGAATGTTTATCGGCAGCGAAAGCGCTCCAACGACTAACTTATCCAACGCTGGCTTGAACATCTCGTAGAGTGAAGCCGGCTCCCTGTCTACCATTTGCCTGAATGCTATCGACAATGCCATCTGATAACCGATCAAGATGCATAAACAAAAGTTGCTTGCATGACAAGTAATATAAACAAATTCAGCATGTTAATCTGCAAACCTCCTTGGTTGTTTCTTGAATGTCTACGGTTTTTCCATTCCAGTTGTTAAGGAAAGATCTCATGAAGGTATCGATCTTCGGCAGCAGATCCTCTTTCATCGCGAGAGGACCAATGAGGGACACCATTGAACCTCTGATACGCTTGTGAGAAACGCCATCCACGGCTGCGATGTTGCGTCTCCCAAGTATTTCGAGCATGGATTCAGGGTAACCAGGGATCAAACCTTTGCCTTCGTTGAAAAGGATGTATCTGTTGAGCTCGGTATCCATGCAAACAACAGTCGGACAACCCAATATGTGTGTCTTGAACAAATTCCCATACCTGTTTCAAAAACAAAAATGTAATAATGTCTGCAATGCAACAACATGGAAAAGATATATTAACCATGCATGTTATCTTACTCGAACTCGGATGTTTAACACTTTATCGAAGTCCGAGTAACATAACATGAATGCTATATAAGAGGAGAGAGTGCAAACGAGTTGAAAAGACATACTTAGCTCGCTGCTTTCTCATGAAACTCGGTCCAGATTTGATGAACTCAGTGGTCTCCCCCAAAACTGGCCAACCCATGGTCCCAGGAGGCAAACCCTTTTTCCTACTGTACCTTATCTCATTCCATTTCAACAGGGCAAAGCTAATGGTGAGCACCAAAGGAAGCAGGCTAGCAACTACTACTAACACAAAGATCGCCATTGATGCTTCCAAGAAAGAACCCTCAAGAGGAGTGGTGCAAATGGGAAGGCTGCTTTCAGGCTTTTAATAATGTGCAGAAGGAGTTCTACAAATGGCAATGCCACCATTAGGAACAATGCACATACCTAATATGGAAATTATATATCTGTACTACCCAAATTTTGGTTGCCTTTGGATTCAATACCAAATAGGGCTCCTTCATGGTGTTTAATACTTATATTTTATTTTGGTATAACTTGATCCTAATATCATTATTTTGGTAAAATATTTGTTTGTATCATCATGTTAATATGAGATTTTTTTGTATCGGAAGATGTGTTTTTAAGAAAAATTCACAAGAACATTTTATCGAAATAGTTGGATTAATTAATTACCTATTGAAGTAGAGGATCAAATTATGTCGAATTAAAATATAATATGACTACATATCAAATTTGAGCTATTAGAGGGATCTAAGCTATAACTCATCAAAGTGAACCATTGGAAGCTTCTAAGTTTATAATAGATGTATTTAATTAGTTTCTTTTCAATCATCATCCATGCAATTATTAGTTGATTTCTTGAAGCTAGCCAGCTGATGTCTGGTAATTTTTTAGGGTAAATTATGTGTTTAGTACCTAAACTATCAATTTTGATCTGTTTTAGTACCTAAACTTTCGATTTTTTCAAAAACATACTAATTTTTGTTTCATTTTAATATCCATGTACAAATTTAATGTTAAGTTTTGAAAGAAAAAAATGATAGTTTAAGTGTTAAATGCATAGTTTACCCTTTTTTATCTTATCTTGGAGCAATCATGGAGCTTTCAAAACTCTACTTTCAATCATTGATCTTTAAAGAAATGTTTACTTTGATTATTGGTCTAACTATGCCCCCGGTCCCTGTACTCTTCGAACTTCTAAAATTTAATTCCTATAAATAAAAGGATTCAACTTTTATTTCCCCTTCCTTACAAAAAAAAGATTCAACTTTGCCATCATAAAATGAAAAGAGAGGAAGAAAAAACCCAAAATGGTGAACATGTAACAGAACAAAAGGGGAAAATGAAGTAAGAACTAATCGAGGTTTGAAAAGCCTCAACCACAAACAAGCATACGCTTTGGCACGGAACAAACTTGACCCTACTCGGAAAATTGGAGACCGTCCAGTTTAGATGCAGCCGGTTTGTCCAAAAACCATACCAACTTCCCTTTCGTCAGTTGGACCAACCCTGCAGGCAGCGACGGGCTGTCATGTCCAATGTTATCGATTGCCAAGTGCACAGCCTCTGCTTTTCTCTCACCCTTCACGACGATTGCAACGTTGGATGCTGAATTGATGACAGGCAAAGTGAACGTTATCCTCTCGAGTGGTGGTTCGGGGGAATCGGTGATGAAAGTCACCCATTCGTCCTTCTCGTCGAGCACTGCATGATTAGGAAATAGTGAGGCAACGTGACCATCGTGGCCCATGCCAAGAAGGATAAGGTCAAACTTGGGGCAGTCACTAATGTCGGAAACACTGACCGTCCTCGTTTTAACTAGCTGCCGGATAGCGAATGTGTATTTGTCGGCAGCCTCCTCTGCTGTGACCGAATCATTGATAGAATGAACATGGCTGGGAACAATCGGCACCTGCAGCACATACAAGGCATAAGTCGAACCAACATATAGTAATATGGCTTGAACTTTACCAAAGCATAATTTTTCAGTGAACCTATCCATTGATGAAAGCAATGCTAAATCACAATCGACTTTATTGTGAAGCTAACAGAGAGTAAGTCCTAAGATTCTCAAACTTGTCCGATAAAAAAATACGAAAAATTCCGTATCGGTTCCGACGACATATACACTCTTCATCTTTTTATAGATGAGTCTACAAAAACTGCAACAGGTGAACGAGAGTTTCACAGCAAGGCCTTTAGCTTTTCAGAACCATCAATCATCTCGGTTATTTCGATCATATCAGATGTGAAGATACTAATTTTTTATCCATATTATTATTATTAATATTATTATTATTATTATTATTATTATTATTACTATTATCATTATTATTATTATTATTATTATTATTATTATTATTATTATTACTATTATTATTAAATATATTAAATACATATAAATATTATTAAAAACAAACAAATAATAAAAAATATAATTACAGGCCCAATTACAATTGAATCGGCCCAGTTACAAACCAACCAGAGCCGGTCCAAATCCAACCAGAAACCCTAAATATTTGGGTTTCCAGTTAGGGTTTCCTGACCCTAATCTAGCCAGCCGCCATCTTCAATCTCAACCGTTGGATTGTTTGATCCAACGGTCCACCATTTGCCAGAGAAAACCCTAGGGTATCTATACCCTAGGGACACGTCCCAGCGCCGCCGCTGCTGCTTCCAGAAGCCCTCACCGCCTCCGCCGCTGCCACGTCCCGAATGATGCTTCCAGAGAATCAACCAGCCGTCCATGCAAGGCTACGGGTGAGTCACCACTGGTAGTCCGGTGACTCACCGAGGCCCCCTCTTCGGACCGGTCTGAGACGAACACCGGTGGTGGCTATAAAAGCCACCACCCATCTGCAAGCAAAAAACCAGGGAGAGAGACAGAAACCAGGGACAGAGACAGAACAAAAAAAAAAAGGAAAAGAAGGAAAATAGAGAGAGATATAAAACTACCAACGATCTCAGCAGCAAGAACCAGAAGAAAAAAGAGAGAAAAAGGAAGAAGAGACTTACCGAGGAAGCGTCGACCACCGGATCTCGTCAGAACCTTCGAAACATCGAAGGTATTATTATAAGATTTGCTCCGATTAGGAGCCTTTTAAAGGAAGAACACCGGGACCGTCCTTAGGACGGTCCGATCTACCTATTCGTATAAAAATATTTTTTCCGGCCACCGGATGCGGTGGCCGGCGGTGATATTCACGGCGGCCACTGGCCGATCAGTAACGGTTCCCTCTGATGAGGGAAGCTAGAGAGAAGGCAGAGAGTTTAAAACTCTCTCAGTGAAAGAGAGAGAAGAAAATGGAAAATGAAGGTTGGCCCTTCGGGCCAGCCGGTTTTGGACTCTTATAGTCCTTCCCGAACGACGTCGTTTCGGGAAGGACTATGCGCGTAATTACAAAATAGTTAAATCCGTCCGTAGTCCTCCCAACTTGTAAATTTTATATTTTGTCACTAAACTGAATTTATAATAATTTTAGTTCAGTCTTTGAATTTAATTTTGTTCATTTTAGTCTTTTTATTAAAAATATATTTAGGATAAATGACAAATTTAATCCCTTAATTTTAATAAATAATTTTTTAATCCCTAGTTCATATTTTAATTTAATTTATAAAATTCGAATTTTAGATAATTTTATTTGGTCATTAAATTATTAAATAGAAGATAAAATATTTCCCTATAATTTCAATTAATTAGGAATCAGATTTAGTTTATTTTAATTATAATTTAGTTATTTTTATATGTCTTCATTTATTTTATTGTTTTTAATATATTGTTTTAGTAGTATTTGTATTTTTATTATTAAATATTTTATTAAATATTTTTATAAATATATAATAAATTGTATTTTTTTAAAATATTTATTTTTAATATCGAAGAAAAGGACAGTCTTAATACAACTGGATGTCCTATTCTGATATTTTAAAATTAAAAAGTAAACAATATTATTTAAATTAATATTTATCAATATCAAAGAAAAGCTGTCTTAAGGCACCTAGAAGTTCTTTTCGGATATTTTTAAATAATAAATATTTTATATAATTTTGAAATATAGGATTATAAATTAATATATTTTTGAATTTTTAAATTTTAATAATAGAGACAATTTATAATTAAAAAGTACCAATTTTGGGCGTTGTAGGGGTGCTAATCCTTCCCTAAACGTAACCGACCACGAATCCTTTTTATTATTAAAAAGAACGAATTTTTGGTTATAAACGCAGATCAGTTCATTTTAATTGATTTTTCTTAAAACTCTTTTAAAAATAATTTTTAGGTATTCGACCTACCTGACCCTAAAGGCCGATGGCGACTCTCAAATTATTTTCAAAACCATTTAATCACATCAATTTCCCGCCAAAAAAATTAATATTTCGTGCCCGGACGAAAACCGGTTACGACAGCTTGGCGACTCTGCTGGGGAACGTTGGTCAAACTTTTAAAAAATTATAAATTGTCTCTATTAGTCAAAAATTAAAAATTTATATATTTAATTTTAATTCTTTTTCAAATTTTTTATTTTTATTTATTTATTATTTTTATAATATTTATATGTTTATTTACAAGTATTTTATTTCAGTATTTTTTTTATGTCAAAGGTTTGAACATTTCTCCTCACACACAACACTTGCATTGCATAACATAAAGCTCTATAATTGAGTTGTCCCTTTTAAGTGGGAGTGAAAGCGACGTCTTCGTGAGAATTTATTCTCCGTGTCAGACCTAGCAAGTAACTTTCGGGGTTCATACTCTATGTTTCGTGAGAATTTATTCTCCGTGTCCGGCATAGAGAAATGTATCCCCTCGAATTGAACTCGATCCACTTTAGTCTGTAATGGACTAGGATTGAGGGTTAGCAGCCTAAGGAGGTACTACATGGACAATTCGGGTACCTTTCTTATCTGAAACCTTGCATATAAAAAACCTTAGAAACTCTTCCGATCCGAAGTCATGCCAAATTTTGTCCAAAATAGGTGTACACAGGAGAAATGAATTCTGTCTTTTCTGTTAATTTATTTATTGTTTAAATTACATGTTTATTTAAATTATTTAAATTCAGAAAAGCATGTTTAAATAAAGAATATTTATGTAAATGTTATTATTAAATTTCTTTATTATGTAAACTAATTTATTTCTTTTTGTGTTCTTTATTTTTCTGTTTGCATTGCATCATACAGGATAAAAGACATTGATCCTTGTGTTAATTATCTCATTGGAAAGCCTTCATCTATGGATAAAAGTGTTCAAGTCAAATAATTCTAAACTCAGAAGTAAGACAGTGGGCTGAGGATTTACAAAGACAAGAAGGAGACAGTCTGCAGGATGATTATGTATCTGACTTGGCTAGTTATGCTTCAGTTTCACTAAAAGAAATGATATGCAAGATTTGCGAAGCATTTGGGAAAGTTGGGATTCAAACAAAAAATTGCAGTTTTATCAGACTTACGGAGACATCCCATATTTGCTCTATGTTGAAGTTGATGATGAATTACTCAGAGCCCTAGTTCAATTCTGGAATCCAGGGTACAATTGCTTCACTTTCATAAGGAGGACTTGGTCCCTACTATTGAAGAATATACAACTTTGTTACATCTTGAAGGGCTTGGTGAATCGAATATATTCAAAGTCAATTAAAACTCAACCCTTTCGAGTTAAATTAGCAAAGATTGCCGGAGTACGAGAAGAATGGGGTAGCATCCCGTACAAAACAAAAAGGCGAAAGCGAAGGCATAGCTTGGACCAACATCAGAGAACTTATTCAAAGCCATCCAGATATTAAAGTACGATTCGATCTATTTGCTCTGGGTATATGGTATGGTCATCTTCCCAAAAGTATTGGGATATATTGAAGCTGCAGTGGTAGACTTGTTTGAACAGCTACCGAAGAAGATTAATCCGTTTCTGCAATCCTAGCAGACCTTCAGATCGTTAAATGCTTGCAGAAGGTTAGGAGGTGGACGATTCTCAGGGTGTACCCAGTTGTTATATGTTTGGATCCGTAGTCATTTCTGGAGGACGGAAAAGGTTTCATACCGACGCTTCAATACGGATTATTCACCATTAAGGAATTTCTGGAGCAGGAATGGCCGAAAGAAATTAAGAAAGATATGTGGATTAATGCCTTTCGAAATCTGCAAAGCAATGACGTTGTTTGGCGTGCCCCGTGGCAAATCCAAAGGGAATTCTTTTACAGGTGTGGTGATTACAACTGGATAATGCTGCTCGGATTATGGGGAGGAATTGGATATGCACCACTGCTGGTTATAAGACAGTATGAAGGTCGTCAATTTGTACCTGTCACTGCTGGACTACAGTCATGGTAATTCCACAGCAAAAATTATAAAAGAATATCATGGAAGCCGTTACAGCTTGGAAAACAACTTTTTGTATTCGAGCTAAAGCAGCAAAAGAAATGCTAACCTGATTATGAAGATTGGAGATCTGTCAGAAAAACGAAAATATTCCTCTACCAGATCAAATGAGGATATTTCTATGGAAGATCGCATTAAGGTGGTTCCATCAGAGATTGAAATCTTGAGAGCTGAGTTTGAAACAGAAAGAGATAGCTGGTCGAAAGAGTTAGAGCAAATGAGACAAGATAAAGTTATGTTGGGGGTTGACATTGACTTTCATTCATCACAATGTGCAATGTGAGAAAAGATAAAGAAAAAGGTGAGGATGAGTACAGAGCCTTACAGAAAAATTACCAGGAGTTATAAATCCCGAAATCATCAGGACCCAGCCAATCGACGGTACAGATGACCAGAATTGAACATTGAGAAAAGACTAGTTGAAGATCTGAAAGGAAGAATAGTCGTCTACTCAAAAGCTGGAAAAGGAAAGCAAAAATGGAAGATTTCGAGGTTGACAGAAGAGAGCGAATTATAAAACACAAGGCTGAACACCGCGAGATCATGAATGAAATGCAAGAGAAAAGGATCGAGCCAAAGATTTAGAAGAGATGAAGAATGACATTTGATAAATTTGAAGGCGAGAAAAAATCATGT